GGATCAATAAAGAATACAAAGACGACGATGAAGGATTTGGCTATGTACATGCATGCATGTTGTTGGCAAAAAGAAAACATCACCAAACACAATCCTCTCCTATATATCATCTCTTCAGGCTACTTATATGTTGCTTTCTCCTTCCATGTGAGTCTTTATTTAATCATTTCTATTTCTCATCATGTCCAGTTTGGTATTTAATGTGATGTTTGCTACTGGATTGAACAAGTTTGACATAGAAAAGCTCGAACTCTTTCATTAATGAACAGAAACAAAAACAGCGAACCAGAATGATAATAGTTCACTTGGCCACCAGAGATTAGTCTTGTTTTCGATCTAATTACTATCTCCGGTTCAAAAAAGGCCGGGAAAACAACAAAAATGTGATTTTGGGATCATCTTAAAACCCTAATTGAAGAAGTTGGTTTTAGAGAAAGACACCATCTCGACTTGAATTTTGAGAGCATCATTGACAAGGAAACCTTTGGATGTGTGTCTGATATCTGCAAGTGGCATAAACTTGTCGTAACCCCATCCATTCTCTGTTGCATTGGGCAATCCTCCCACTATACATAGGTACAAATCAAAAGTTAATTTTAAAACATTATTTATAAAATAGTATAATATATAGTGAAAGACCAACCTTGCTTCTCCACATTAGTGGTTCCAATAACTCGTAGCTTGGCTTGCACGCAGGCCCGACCTTAGGCCCTTTTTTTTAGGTGAAATTTAGGTGAAATTTTTTTATTCTTTTAATATTTTATAAACTTTTGAAAACAAATCAAACATGAAAAAATGAAATACAAAATTAGGCCCCTCATAATAAAATAAGATTAAGAACGTCAATACGAAATCACTTGTTGTGAATTATATCAAATAAATAATTTTAAATATGTTATTCTTATATTATTTTTGGTTTTTGATAAAGTTATATCACATATTTCAAAATAACTTTGATTTTTCTAATCCTATTTAAATTAGATTTATTTTTGACTATTTTACAAATAAAGATATTATTATTTTTAAAAAGATAAATCTTTTTCATTGTGGCTAAATCTAATTAAAAATTATTTTTTTATACTTTGTATAAATCTGATCAATTGACTCACACATGCCCATAAAATGGCTACAAATCCCAACTAAATTAATTTCATTTTAACTACACCAACTAATGGATAAACATAGTAACATACACGAACAAACTTAAGTTTAACACCATAACCATTAATTTTCAAAAAAAAGAAAATAAACATTTATCAACATTCTTGTTATTATTGTTGAGAAATTTCAAAAAATGCCACTTTTCAAGTGCCACTTTAGAAAAATGCCACATTTTTGAAATCTTCACAAAAATACCACTTTTTAAAAATTATTTTTTCTTTATATGTTTGGGTTAATTATGTTCTATTAGGGTTTAGTTACGAGGGTTTAGGAGGTTTGAGGGGTCAAAACATTTTTTAGGGTTTAGAATTTTAAAATATAGGTTTTATAAATGTATAATTAGTGGCATTTTTGCAAGTGGACATCTTAAGTGGCATTCTTGCAAATGTACACGCATTTTGTAATTGTCCCCCCCCCCCCCATTATTGTTGCTTGATTGTTACAGTATTATTGTTTGCTTGATCGCTTAATCTCTCTTCTAGTAGAAAAAAAGGAAATAATACTTGTGTGCGCTTAAGCCATCGGGGTTACACGTTGGACTATGTACTGATATGAGAAGGAATACAAGGCCTTTATCTTATACGTTTGTATTACATGGAAGTGTTGTTGGAGATGGTCCTATCTGAATCCAAATCGATCCGGAAATATATTTAGGCCCGACCCGCGAGGACGAACGAGCTCAATCTGCAAGGACGATAATTAACGATACCAGCAAACTCGGCCCAAAAAGGTCGAAAGTCGGCTTGATTGATCTCCAATACCCACTAAGATGAACTGACTCGAAGACTCCGAAGAAAAAAGGATAGCAAGGAACATAAAATGGCCGGAAAAAGAAAAATCTTTCTAAAGAGATCTAAATTTGTAGAATTGAACATGTATAAAAGGGGGTACCTTCATTGATGGATCCATCCAATCATTATACAACTCACCAAAAATAACATTATTCTTTGAGACTATATGCTACAAGATCGAACGGGACTATTTGGCCGAACTCTGATCAAATTGTTAGTCTCAATCTGCACAGTACCTAGGTAATATAAAATATGATTTCTCGATAAATTCAATCCAATACAATTTAAATTATTAATGTATAAAAAATATAAATTATGAGTAAATTTAAATAATTCTATTATTTATTTTTACATAACTCATTCCGTGCAGAGCACGGATCAAAACCTAGTTGATTATATATTTGGCATGAACAAATAAAAGAGCCAATCCGGTACCAAGTTGTTCACATGAAAAAAAAAGAGAAAACTCAGTGTCCGAGTTTTATTTTAAGAGACACCTAATAACAAAAACTAATTATGGCATTCTTAAAAATTACAAATAAATTTGGTTTTGTAGACCACCAAACCTATATCCCCTCTTATCTTCTTTTTAAGCTATATGTTGCTTTCTCCCTCCATGTGAGACTTTCTTTAATCATTTCTATTTCTAATCATGTCCAGTTTGGTATCTAATGTGATATTTGCAATTGAATTGGTCAAGTTTGGCATAGGAAAGCTGGAACTCGTGAACGTAAACAAAACAGTGGAACAGAGTGATAGTACTTAAGTTGGCCACAGTGGAATTACATAGCGGAAATTAGTCTGGTTTTTGGCCTAATTATTATCTCCGGATAAAAAAAAGGAAAAACAACAAACAAAGTGATTGTAGAATCATCTTATAACCTTAATTAGAAAACGAGTCGGTTTTAGAGAAGGACAAGATCTCGACTTCAACTTTGAGGGTATCGTCGACAAGGAAACCTTTGGTTGTGTTTCTGATCTCTGCAAGTGGTATAAACTTGTCGAAACCCCATCCATTTTCTGTTGCATTGGGCCATCCCTCCACTATATAGGAACAAATCAAAAGTTTTACTTTTAAACATTTTTCAAATAAACCTTAAATAGTCTAAATTAGTAGTAGAGGATGAAAAAAAAGATATGAAACCGAGACAATAACCTTTTTTCTCAAAATGGTTGGATCGGACTTGGTCAATAATTCGTAACTTGGCTTGCACGTAACCCTTTTCATTTGACGCACTCAACAAAAAGAGTGACAACGAATTACCCATTGCAGACCCAACTCCATTTGGATAAACTTTTAAAACCCTACACATAAATTAACACATCTTGTATATCTCTATGTGTGTTGTATATATATACAGGTAGAGAGAGAGTTAATTACCAGTCTCTTCCTCCAGAAGAAAACGAACCAGAAGTGTAATAGTCAAGATCGCGGGTAGAGAATTTGGTTAGTTTCCAATTGAAAATAGGGTCACGAATGTTTTGTTCGTAAGAGACAACTTCCCATTCCTTGAAAGGGTTAGTAACGAAGATGTCAACGCCAAACACACTTTCTCCGCCGTTGAAAATGAATCCATGAGCCGGATTTTCGTAATACCCTATTTCAAGAAAGTTTAACTGTCCCCATTGTTGTCTAAACAAATGAAATCGCTGCGCATCAGTCTCTGCAAAACCGGTCAAAACTAATTGGTTTGAAGAAACCACAAAATAAAAGATTAAAAGAAATTTCTATCCCTCTCTCTTAAGATTAATTAGTACCCTTGAGAATATGGTACTTGTCTATAGTGCTTTTATAGGTGAGGAATGTGATCTCTGCATACACATCTCTTGGATTGGCAATGAGGGTTGAGTTATCAATTTTTACGTAAAGCGAAACAAATCCACCTGAGCCCTCTGGCTTGTTCACGTTCGGGTAGATTAGTAACGTCCTTATAACATTTTAAACAAAAGAAAGGATCAAATTATACATAGTTTAAAACATAAAACAAATTAGAATGTTAACGAGA